CCCCACCCCCGGGCCCCTAGCTCCAGCTGCCGCGCCATTGGCTGCGGGTCTCCGCCAGCCTTTACATAAGCCCGGGCGCGCTCGAGTGGAGTTGTATAAAGCGAGCGAGCGGCGTCGGGGCGGGAGGCTCGAGGCCAGCCCGGGACCGGACTGGGAGTGGAAGGCGGCGGCGGCAGAGGCGGCAGCGAGCGTCCGCGCTCCGACGCCCCCAGGCGGCGGGGCTGAGAGAGCGGGAGGATGACGGCGAGCGCTGGCCCCGGAGTGAGTACCCGCTCTGGTGCCCCCACCCCTTCAGGCGGAGAAAGTTTCTCCCGCCCTATGAGCCCTCCCGATCCCCCGGCAGGGGTGGCGAGGACGCCGCCGGGGAACCGGGAAGGCGGCGGCGGCCGGGGCTTTGCTTCTAACTTGCCAAGAGGCGCTGGACTCGACTGGCGCGCAGAGAATCCCCGCGGGCTGGGGGCGAGGCAGGAGCGGGCTGGAGGTGGAGAGGTGGGAGCCGAGGTGTAGGGGGCGACAGCCATACAGCTGACAGGGAAGGTGTTGGGGGCGCGCTGGAGGTCAGCTGTTTGGGAAGGGGGCGCCGGCGCTGGGAGGGGGGCGGAGCAGGTGAGGAAGGATGTGCCGGGGTTGTTGGGGAGACACCTCACCGGGCAGGCTCAGCTCCTGGCTACGGAAGCTGCTGGCCTTGGCCCCTTGGCCGGGTGCTAAGCTTGCTAGATGGGTAGAAGCCCCGTGGGGCTGGCGCTGCCTCCCCAGGGAAGGCGAGCTCCCAGGCACAGCGCTGGGTGGCAGCGAGCTCCAAGAGCCAGCCCTGCGCGCGGCATAGCTGCCAGCTGCCTCTGCTGGACCGAGGTGTGGTCTGCTTGCTTTCAGTCTGTCTCAGGCAAGCCAGCTTCAGGCATTCCCAGGGAACCAGGGGTCCTTCTTGGCCCCGTGGGGGCACATGGAGGCTTTGATGGGGCAGCAGACCGGTGTTGGGGATATGCCCAGCAATGCAGCGGCTTTCTTCACAGTACAGTAGTTGGGAGCTCTGGTTAGTACTGTTTCTGCAGAAACCAACTCAAGAATCCAAAGTCATCCCAGCCTGGATGGGAGCCTCCCAGAGTGGGCAGGAAATGCTTATGGGGTTGGGGAGGGAACAGTCCCCTTCCTCCAGGAATGACTAATGAATATTACTGTTGCTGGTGGGGCAGACGCCTAGTGTGGCTCCCGTGCCCCCCCAGAAGGTGCTTCAGCTCTCCAGGCAGGACATATTCTTGAGTCACACTTGAGGTGTCTTCTGGGATGGGTGCAGTACTTCAAGTGAAGCCAGGTGGAAAAGACTGGGAGAGGGTTCCGGATTAGAGGACAGCTCTGTAGTGCTGCCTTGAATCAGGAGGAAAGCATGTGGAAAGAGGAAAGCTATGGAGGGCAGATTTTTGACCCCACTTGCATGGGGCTAGTGATACCCAACACTGAATTAGGGCAAATTTCAAGAGTCACACTGTGCCACATGGCTTACTCTCAGGCGTGAGGAAGGGGGCTGGAAGATGGAAAAGTGGGAACATGGCGATTGTTCCAATGTGGTCCTTTGAGGAAGTGTTTTTGTTCCCTCTGATGATTAAGGAATCCTTCTGGCAGCAAGTCCTAAAATCAATTTAAAAGGCAACAAAGGGAGTTCAGGGTCTTAGTGTTGGCACAGTGGACCACGGTCTGGAATATTGTGGTTTCCGGTTGGTACCTATGGTCTCTGAAGAAGGTCAAAGGCGGTGGTAGTTATCTGCTTTGAGCTGCTCAGCTGGGACTGTATTCTTTACCTGTACCTCACCCCTGAACTTGGATGGGTATTTCGAACTAGAATCTCTGCTTTAGCCTGGAAATCTCTTATGGGGCTGCCTCCAAGCCCAGCTCTACTCTTTTCCTGCAGTTAACATTTTTCTGCTGCATTTCCCAAGACCATCTCTCCACTGGGGATTTTTGCAATGAAATACCTGCTTGTTGCTCTTTCTTCCCTTCTCTCCATCTGGGCTGCACCTGGTGTTCTCAATCCTGATATTTATGACTTGCTATGTTGATGTTTGGTTAAGATGTCCCTATCGTTGCCCAGGAGTGCCCCTGTAAATGTGTGGATCAATAATTCTAGGGAGTGAGACATGAACTCTTCTGGAGAGAAGCACACTGACCAATTCTCTTATTGAGAATTGCCTCTTGTTCTCAATCATCCATGCTGCCTGCTGAGAAGATAGAAGCTTAAACGTAGAGCAGACTCACCGATGTCCAGTAGGGGGCGCCAAAGACACCAGCTCAGGGCCACTGCCGAACTTCTTGCCCTCCCAGAGTAGAATAACTTACAAGCTCCGGCCATAGCCCCCAACCATCACCTTTATGATGGAAGCCCTTCCACGAGCTCCTGGACATCACGTGGTCCTGTGATCCCAGATGCAGTATGGCAAATGCAAGTAAAACATTCCAACAGGAACAGCTGGCTCTCAGCTTCACCCGCTCTCTGAGATCATTTCTTTGTGCTCGGTGCCGAGGTCTTCTTTGAGCTCACTGGGAACTTGTAGAGGCTAAGAACATTTGAGTTGGAAGAAACATCTTTGAGCATGTAGTCCAACACCATCCCATCCTCAATACTCACATGAGTATTGAAATGAGAAAACTGAAGTCAAGAAAGGAAGTCTCTTGCCCAAAGTCTCGTGGGTTTTGTGGAAGAGGCAGGAAGGACCAGGTATCAGGAGCCCCAGTTCTCTACCCGGAGCTCATGCAGCTCCCAGCACCTGCTTCCTCTTTTCTATGGGAGATGAGTGTGTCATCTTTGCACAATAGATACTCAAAAATTGCTGACTGATCAGACATTCATAAATTAATAAGCTTAGTAAATTAGTTAATCTGGGGGAAATTTGCTTTGAGTTTAGTATTCAGAGTGAGGAGACAAGATACCGATAAATTTCTTATAGATATCCAGGTAATAGACATTCCTAGGGATTCCTTCCTCTTCCCCACTCCCTTGTCTTGTTATTCTAAGTGGTCTTTTAGGCCACCGCAATGTGCCTGCAGGTCTTTGTCCATGCATTTGGCAGTCATAACTGCCCTGGGCCCCTGGCCTGCAGTTCTCCCTGTGCTAAGGCATGCTGGAGGGGGCACTGACCTCCACCACTCCCTATGGCCTCTCCAGTACTCAAATCCTGGACAGGGTGGTGCATTCCCAACAAGTATTTGCCCGTCTCCCCATCCAGTTCAAGGTCAGAATGCTTGCATGTTCTATTTTTGCAGAGTCCTCATATTAGGGCTCCTTGGGTGACCTGGGAGATACTACCATTTCCATTGGCCTTTTTCTGTTCTGTGTCTGACTGTTGACACCTGAGCTGGGCCCCCAGAGGGAGGTTTGCTGAGTGGCCTCAGGCTGCCCCCTCTGCTGCCGCTCCCCACCCTGCTCTTCTGCATGCTTTGTGGAGGTCCTCTGGCTTCCCTCGGAGCCTCGGCAGATGCACAAGGACCCAGTGCCGCCAAGCCAGAATTCTGAGAGGTGGAGCCTCTCCTGTCCCCAAGGCTCACCCAAGGGATGCTTGTTGCCAGGGAAGATGCTCAAGGTTCCTTGTCTCCTTCAGGTTCACAAATTGGGTTTTCATCTTCAGGAGGAAGGAAGTGATAGGATAACATGAACTGTCAGAGAGCAACACCCCCCTCCTTTAAAGTGGGGTTCTGGGAGGTTGTGAGAGAGCTTCACCTGCTCCCAGCTGTAGCTAAACAGATGCGTCTGCGTTCTCAAGGCTTGGTCCAGCTCCAGATAGGACCAGAGGAAAAGAGTGACATAAAATAGAGCCATAGCTCGAGCTCTCTGGACTTTTTGCTTGAATGGGAGAAGGGACGTAGACTCTGGAAAGTGGCCGTAGACATTGAGGAAAGGAAACGTCTCTTTCGCTAGCTCCACTGGGTGACGGCCCCTGACCCTGCTTTCTGACTGGACGGAAGGACACAAGCTGAGAACTCAGCTCCTCCACTTACTCGCTTAGAGTAACAGCTTAACCTCTGCCTATGCCTCAGTTTCCTCCTCCGCTAACTGGTGACGTTGCCAACCCTCTGATGAGAGCAGAGGAAAGGTGTTGAACTTGCCCCTGCTTTTGGAGGATACACAGGGGGATTCAGACAGTCGGAGACATTATTGGGGGTCCCTGGGAATCACACAGGGGCTTCCTGTCTCAGCCAGAGAGATGGGGATGTCCAGCTTGCACACCAGCCCTGTTCACAGCAACATCTGGGCTGATGGACAAGGCCTTCTTCCCTCCCCCACCATGGGGCTTTCATTTGGGGGTTCTACTATGCCTGGGGAAAAGAGATTTTACAGGTCCCTGGATAATTCTGAATGTGATGGAAGGCCCTGAGCTATTGATTCCTAGGGAAGGATCTCTGTGCTGGAAGAAGCCTTCCTCGGAGCCCAGTGATTTAAGAGTGCTGACAAATCCGTGCTCACCGAGCCTCCTGCAGGCTGCAGATAGAGGCTTCCAGGCCGGTCGGGGCTCTGCAAAGGATTTCTGGGGAGCCTGGCTGGTTGCTTAGGGGACATAAACCTGTGAACTCTCGTTAGGAGAAAGTATGAAATCAATTGGTTCATTATCACACCAAACACACCCTGGACCACTTAGGGCATTTAAGAAATGAGAAGCAGCAAGGAATGGAGAGGTGGTGTTTGAAAAGTGTGCAGAAAGGTGAGACGGGATTGAGGAAGAGGCAAAGAGAGAATCTTTCCAGTGAACCACTCATGATCTTGCCCTAATTAAAGTTCTTGGGCAACGATCAAAGGGGTTACTTTGGTCCCCACCCCAACACTGGACAGTGTCTGAAGACATTTTTGATTGCCACACTGGAATAGGGAGTTCTAGTGGCATCTAGTGGGGAGAGGCCAGGGATGAGGCTGAGCATCCTACCACGCAGCCCCCCAAAAATGGTCTGTCCTAAAAGGTCGACGATGCCAAGATTGAGAAACCCTGGATGAGAGCGTGGCCTCAGAGAATCACAGCAGGTCAGCGCTGGGAAGGGTCCTAGGAGTGTTTGCACCCAGCTCCCCCATTTCAGCTGAGAGGCAGAGGAGAGGAGACTAACCAGCGTCACCCAGCAAGAAGGTGGCAGAGCTGGTCTGGAACTCAGACTGCTATCTCCCAAAACTGCCTTACCCAAACTCCCCCAAAGTGTGAAGATTAAATGTGAGCTGTGAAAACACTTAGAAATTTATAAAGAGACTATTATTAATATTGCTATTATTAAGAATTTGGGAGTTTGGA